CATTTCCTTTATAAGTGAGGAATACATGAGATTTTTCAATTTTTTTCTTCTTCAGCTGCTGCTACGTTATTTCTTTCTTCTTGTTTAGGAGCATATCTACAGTCATAACTATAATGACCATACTTATTACAATTATAACAGTGTACCTGGAATTTATTTCCTTGCTGATATCTGCCTCTACCTCGGCCTCTAAATCCTCATCCACGACCTGATGTTGGATTGTTTTCAGTTATTTGAACGGTGCCATATGATCGACCACCACGTCTACGAGTTCCTTGTCCTCCTCTATATCTTCCACGATTTCCTTGACCTCGTATGTAGCTGCTGCTATCTTCTCCTTCGTTTGACATTCATCTTGCTTTGTAGAGCTTGCTCCAAATTTTCTGAATCTTCATTTTGTTTCATTTTTTGTTCATGGGCTTGAAGTGAACCCACAAGCTCACCGATCGATATCTGAGATAAATCTTTCGATTCTTCGATTGCCACCACCACGTAATCGAATTTTCTTGTCAATGACCGCAAAAGTTTTTCCATCACTCTAATATCGTCGAGTGATTCACCATTTCATTTCATTTCATTCACGATCGCTTTCACACGGCTAATATAATCATCGATGGTTTCTGTATTTTTCATTTTTAACATCTCAAACTCAGCTCTGAGAGTTTGTAAGCGTACCTTTTTTGCTTTTTCGGCACCTTGTAGATTTTTGCATTAGAAATTTTTTCAAATGTAGATTCTTCTACTCCTTGAAAAATAAAGAACAACGCTCTTTTATCTTTTTTCCGGGATTCCTTCAATACCTTCTTTTCTTCATTGGCCAGGGCTGCTTCTGCTGCTGCATTTTCAGGCTCGGTGTAACCATCCTCGATGATATCCCAACAATCTTGAGAGCCTAGTAACGCCTTCATTTGAATGCTCCAATTGCCGTAATTTGTCTTTGTCAATCTCGGGATTTGAGGTTGAATCATGTTGGCCATCTTCTCCACCACGTTGAACTCGAACCAAGCTCTGAGGCCACTTGTTGGAAGCGTAGATGGGCACTCAGTAATTTATAACACTCAAACATTTTATTGATACGAAACAAAATATGTTACAACGACACTCTTAATATTACAATACTAGCTTCTGCTAGTTCATAAAAACAGTTATAGCTTTGCTAAGCTTTCTTTCTAATTTTTCTTCCTCTCACTCGCTACTCACTTTTCCTCACTTGTATACATGCTTGCTTTGCTCACATATATATATATATATATGTAATAAACTGACTTTGAAAATGTTAGAAGCTTCTCAATTTCTCCATTATTACCGCCTTACATGATGAACATATTTGCTTGTCTTCATTTTCTTTCATTAAAAATCTTTGCCGACATACTAGTGCATTGTCACGTTATTTCCTTTGTTTTTAAGCATTAGCATGCTTCCAAAAGTTGCTGCCATTTTATAATTTTTTTATGGGACCACCTAAGCTTTTTACACTCTTCTTTTGAGTTTGACTTCAACATATTTTACCAATTGAGCAGCTTCAAAATCCATGAGTTTGATATATAAATCCATTTCATGTTTATTTGATTAGTAAAAGAGGTGGATGGATACTTCGAAATGGTTCTTGTATTTTATAAATTTGATACTTTGCATAGAGTGTTTTGAGTGTCAAGGATACTTTAATAATCTTTGTGGTGGTTTGACTTTTAAATTTTTAAAAATATTGCCAAGTGATGCTTAATAATCTCATAAACTACAGGATTCAAGTAGGACTTAAAAACAAGTGCTTAGAGATGTTTTATAATGACTTCTCGAGCATTGTTATGATTTTTTTAGGTTGAAGTATCGATATAATTCATACAATATCAGTACAAGATGAATTTAGATTTGAGAATATATATTTTTAAGAATGCGTACCGATACTAGTTCATATAATATTAATATTGTTTATATAATACGATACTCCCTTGAACAGTATCAATACTGAATGATTTGTGGGATTATCCAATATTCATAGTTGAATATTGATACTCCTAACAAAGTAGTACCTATGCTCTTGTCTTTGTAGTATACGTACTCCTTAGTAGTATCTATATTGTTTGTTGGATTACCTATACTCTCTAGCATAAAAAAACTTATTAGAAACACTTCTCATTACACGAATACCTTCAAATCACTTTAAAGTAAATATACAAGCCTATCAAGAGGTCCTAATGTATGAAGTGACTCAAATAACCTTAAATGATGTAAATTATCAAAATAACTTTGTATTGTGAAAAAGACTATAAACACCTCACAACTTAATTAATCTCTATATAATCACTCGATAAGACTAATCGAAGGTAAGAAACTACTAAATGATTGCTTTATTCTAATGCATAATATTTTTAAAAAATAATGAACGATAAAGGAAATGTTCTTATGTATTGCTTATGGGCACTTATTTATTCTTGTGACAACACGTGGTATAAAATTATCTAGATATCTAAAATCAGTATAACATGATGTTAATGATTTCAGATACCTGCACCTTATATATATATATATATACACGTTATAGGAAATGTAGTACCTGATGCTTAGTGATTTTAAGTATCTTCACTATCTATAATACTTAATGTCTAGTGATTTTAGGTAACATACTACTATTGCTACGATTGTGTGAGAAAGTATAGATTTGTTGTTAATGATACCTCGTATCGATACACGATTGAATGTTGTCATAAATAATATTTTGAGTACTGATTATATAATCTTATGCTTCCTCTAAATTTCCCATGATTCTTGGTAATTTTGATACGTTTTGATATGCATTCTTGGTGATTTTGATACTGCGTCCTTACAATCAGACTGCACTTACACACACACACACACACATATATATATATATATATATAACTACCAAATTTTGCATAATGATATCAGACGCTTCAAATTTATTCATATACTGGCAAATACCGGTACACCGTAGATTCTTAACTGAGAAAACAAATCACTGGTCCATGCAGAGGTTATTGTTATTCAAACGAACACGAAAATGAACAAGAACATATATATAATCTGATGGTGGCAATTTCATAACTTCAAGGTCTGCAACAATAAGAATTGGTTTCAGTAGTTAGCAACTTCCTGTATAATAATCAACGGTGAAATACTAATAATCTAAGGGTATAAGCAGAACGTTACTGAGATTATCTTCTTATAAAAATCCACTAGTTCTTTTGGTTTGGTTTTCTTTGTCTGCTTATAGGCATCGATGTCGTTCACCGCCTGCATCACAAAGTTATGACAATAAAATGTATTATTCAAGAATTGAAATAGATAAAGAAATGTTGCTCATAGTAATATATTAGCTATATAGAGCTTCTCCATCTGCATTCTTTTATGCAACTGATTCAAACATTGCTGAGTGACAAACATGGATCCATAAAACTCAAAATGACATCTGGTAGTTTGGGATTTTAAGAACATTGCTGAAATCTGCATGCTTTAAGCAGCATAGTGACCATAAATCTGAAGGCCTGTTTTCAAGGAAGTTTCAATGGCTACGAAATAGACGAAGCAATTAATATTTACACCCAAACAAGAAAACATAGAACCCAATCTTTCATTGAAAATTTTATCATACCAGTTAAATTTCACAAGTAGATGCAGAAAAAACATATTTGTCTATGTATATGCTCTAAATTATACCTCAAACCATGCTGACACTTTAGGCCTGCCTGCTGTGATGTCGTACTTATACACCTCCGATAGGTAGATCTCAAATCTTTCGACAAAAGGAATGAATGCAATGTCCGCCTGCAAATGACAAAATCATTCATACATCTTTCTAGAAAAGCTCCAACGATAAAGAATGATATCTCCATAGTTATTCTATTGATTACAGTAGTGAAAGCAAACTATATTATAGATCTTCTAACACATTGTAACACAGTCAGCAACAGCAAAATTACAGCACCGGGAAAGCAAATTAGCATCACCGGAGAGCCAACTTACCAGACTAAACTTGTCGCCGAGGAGGAATGGGCCATCATGTTTTGTAAGAGCAGGTTCCAATTGATCAAAAGCAGCACCTGATGCAAGTCCAAAGTTTTAGCTGCTTCCTATCATATTATATACAAACACTACACTCAGCAATACAGAAGTATATTTCATTCAGACTAACCAGCTTCAGTTGTGGAGTCTCCTTTAAAGGTAGTAAACACCATCTCTATAAATTGGTCAGTGTGTGATAACAACTCCTCAAACAACTCTTGTTTGTCAGGATCCTAACACATATTCGAAAGACGACTTGGTTAATATCGATAGCGAGAGAGAAACCTCCACTTACAGCACTAAACAATTCAACAGATCTTACATCAGGCAAAAGGGAAGGCCCTTCAAAGTTGGTATCGACATATTTTATCAAATCAAGACTCTCCCCAATGACTTTGCCATCGTGTTCCAAGGCTGGCACCTGCAGAATGGATAGCTCTACCAAATTACTAGCAGATTTTTAAATATTTTTAAATTTTTCATTTATTGAAAACACATAATATCTTGATCACTTCACAAATCTCACCTTGTTTACAGAGTAAACTTTCTCCTAGTACCATGCAGGTCTATTTTGAAAGTTCAAAGGGACCAGCTTAATCTTGTCTTGCAAACCCTGCAACTCAACCAAAAGGAAAAGTAATCCAGAAATCAGGAAGGAAAAACATGAAAGAATAGTGTAAACAAGGGAGTTAGACAACCTTATAATTCCTGGCGATCCACACACGCTGTGCAAAGGGGCAAGTATAAGTCATGTACAACCTTCAAAAGAAGGAAGAAGAGAAGGGGCCATCTTTATTATGCAGCATTGAACACAAGCAAAAAAGATGGCTGTTTAAAAAAACAACAGAGGAAGACTATTTGTAAAAGCACCGCGAGAAGAAAGAGTGAAACCTGGTGTTTCCATCAAAGAGAGCGGGTGGCTCTGATGTAGCATCCAATGGAGGAGGCAAATACTCAGTAGCCATTGCTGCCGGGGAATTCAAAAGTTTGCCTTTTTGTGTTTCTGTTGCTGTTGTTTAATTTGCCTAACACTTCTGAACGCATTCAGGAATGAATTCTTTGCCAATATACATAATTTTTGGAACTGGTAAAAGGTGTAGTCAGCAATGACGAAAATTGACGATAACAACAATGACTTGCTATTAATGAAGTTTCTATTAGTAACTTTCTCTTTGTTATCTTCTTCTCTCTAACCGGCCTCAAACCTTGGGACATGTGGCTCGTCCTCTCTGAACTAAGCACACTATCAATCACTGATACAACGATATAATTTAAGTTAAATGACTTATGATTCCTAACTTTTTACCTATAACTCTACCTCCAAGGAGACGCAGCTTGATCTTGGTACCATCGGTAATGTTACATTAGTAGGTCACGGATAGGGTTGGATAGGTTTAATTCGAACAGTGTAGGTGACTTGATCGGAATTGCGGTAGTAAACGATAGGGTTGATTAGAGAAAAAGACTAACAAGAGGTTGAAGATGAGTCAAAATAAATTTTATTGTGATGAATCAAAGAGAGTTTTATTTGATTAAATGTTGCATCAACATCCATTAGGAGAATAAATGATTAAGTGATTAATATATATATATATATATATATATATATATATAAACACCTTATGCATCTTAGTATGTTAAAAACGTATTTAAAACGTTAAAATATTAATAAAAAAAAAATAAGTGTTATAATCCAAGTATCAAATATGAATATAATGATAAAAATAATAATAACGTATAAAGAAAACTTCAAATATCGATTAAATCTCTATGCCAATGTCTGATAAATAAAATAGATAATTAATATTCATTACACAAATTGCATAGTAAGATTATGGGTAAAATATACAAATGGTCCCTCGACTACATGATGTTATTTTATTGAGTCTTTTATCTATTATAAGTTACAAAATAGTCTCCTGACTATGGGATGTTATTTGATTGAGTCCTTTTATTATTAAAAGTTATAAAATGGTCACTCAACTATTCATATGTTCTAAACTCGTCCTTTTTTGTTAGAAAATTGGCACTTATCTGTAACAACCCGAATATTTACAAAATAATATTTAATTGAAATTGGAGGTTAATGGTGAAAATTGGTAAATTGTTGGTGACTAAATCAAAATTTATGAGAGTTTATAGGTCATTTTAGAAGTGAAGGAAATCCAAGGACCAAACCTTGAATTTACCCTAAAACTGTCGGCAGCTTTGATTATAAGCGTACATTTGGTTCTGATTTTCAGAACCAAAATGCTCCCAATTTTCCTTTCTCATACGCAGTTTCCAACTCCGATTCCGACGCCGTCCAAATTTCGATCATCGTTTTAAAACCACCGTTGTGTTCATCATCGAGCGAGGAACAAACCCTTCAAATTAATTGAAGCGAAACGCGACCAAACGTCGGGAATTTCCAGTCAAAGTAGCGACGGTTTTGTTAGCTCTATCGCCGAGGAAATCTTAAATTCACCGCTGATCGTTGCTCCGTTTACGACACCTCCCGCACCATCGTGTTCCTTGTGTCGTTCCGAGTTCACCGGTGTCAACCTTGTCCGCCGTAGACGGCGGCGCGTGAGGAGGTGGTGCAGTCAAAGATTCGGCCGATTTGAAATCGAGCTCTCCGCCGTTCAAAAATTTGAACCGATCGTTGTAAGTATCTTGAAATCGCTCAAAATAATTTTTAGAAATTTTTTCGGGATTTTTAGGGCCCCGGAGGACGCCTCACGCGCCACACGCGCCGCCGCAGGGCGAGTGGCTGCTGGAAACCGGTTTAACCGGTTTTCAACCGGTTATGACCGGTTTGACCGGTTTCAACCGGTTCGAACCGGTTTGACCGGTCTGAAACGGCTTGACCGGTCTGAACCGGTTTGACCGGTCTGACCCGACCCGACCGTTGACCCGACCCGACCCGACCGTTGACCGTTGACCGTTGACTTTCTTTGACCAAAACTTAAAATGGCTTTGACCGAGCATTAAACGACCGTTAATCTTTTCCAAGTATACCTATCCTGATAGTTTTCGACGTGCCGAATCCGTTTCCGTGGTCTGTTTTGTCAAATTCGAATCCGAAGGTCTCCAAATCTACGGTCAAAGTGGTTGACTTTGACTTTGACCAAGATTTTGAATTTTCGAAAAGTCATACTTTATGTTTTTCGACGCCCTGATTCCGATTCCGCAATCCGTTTGGCCAAATTCAGACTCGAAATACCTCAAATTGATAGTCAAACCCGAAAAATGCTTATATACTTAAGAAGTTTAGCTTTGAACAATTAAATAAGATTTGGGACTGATAAATATTATTGTTTGAAGGTACAAGAGACTCTCCGGATCGTTCGACAGCTCGACCCAGCTCTTCTAGATCAGTTAAACCACGTGTACCAGTATTCACCCGTTCGAAAACTGTAGCAGAGCGTGGTGAAACCAACAATCAGTAGATTTGTTATTTGAATCTATTGTCGAGGTGTGTTCCCTACTTATTACTGAACTATTTTATTGGTTTTAATATGTGGTACACTGAATTCATTGGTTATTGTTTTATTGATGCACCAATTTAATGTGACAATTTATGGATTATGGCTGCTATCTAATTTTTGTTTTGAACTGGTATATGATTACCATGTTTTTGGATTTATGGAATTTGTGTCACGGTGCAATTGAATTTTGGAATTGAATTACGATAGAATAGCTCTGATCAAGCTAACTGGGCTTAATGTGACTCTTGAGGGCCCCAAGATGTTTCATTAGGTCGGCTTTCCTTTGCTGTGTGCTTAGGGTAAGCTATATGGACTTATTGACTTGGGCTTAAGGATACAAGCTTCAGAGCCTATCCTTAAGTCGGCTTTCTTTTTTCTATGTGCATAAAGTAAGCTATATGGAAAATAATTTTGGGAACTACTGATGGTGTACCGGAAAAGGGTTTAAACTATGATTTTCAAAAAGTTAAACTCTTTTACGAATTTGTGAGATTACTGGACTATGATTTGTACCTATTGTGGTTTTATGGAAATGTTGGGACACACTGAGCCTAGCTCACCTTTTGAAAATGTTTTCCCCTTTCAGATACTGTTGGTTAGATACTTTGGTTCGAGCACTTGGAGGATTAACATATCTCTTGAAGTAAATCAGATTGTAATGTTTTTATCTGGCAAGTTGACTTTATTTTGGTGACATGGACCTCATTTTAAAATATCGGATTTTATAATGATAACTCTTTTGCTAATACTGCTCGGTTTATTCTGATATTGAATTTGAAGACATGTTTTAAATTAAATTATTATTTATTGGTACTATATTTACGAGTTGGATTTTGATAGTATAATTTGTTTATAATTTCAGGTTATTTATAATGTGATTTTATATTGATGAAATAACAGTTTCGAAAAATGTATTTAATAATCATAATGTGATCCACTAAACTTAGTCGAAACGCATAGGCCGGGTCTAGGGGGTTACATTTATTGGTATCAGAGCTTTTGGTTTTTAACCCTCGGACTGTGTATGAGTCCACATTGAAAATACGGTTTTGAAATATTTTACAAAACGAGTTACTAAGGCCATGTCACAAAGTTATTAAGATTTTAACTATGTTTGAGACTCCAAGTGCTTATCTAACCCTAAGTTTATCTTCTGTAGTAAACTTGAGATCCATCAAAATGAGTGCTAGACGTGGTCGTCGAACTAGCCGTGGACGAGGTCGAGTGGCTAGATTCGCAGATCCGATCGATGAGATACGGGTAGATCCCCCACCTCCGATAGGTGATCATGCTCCTACGACCCCAACGGATCTGCCTCCTGCCGCTGGTATTGGCATGACTACACCGATAATAGGAGCGACCGATATTGAGTCAGAGTCTACCAGAGTTGCTTTGGATGAGAATTTTGGTAGACAATTTCTGCAGTTAATACAGTGAGCAGTCAGAGCTACTGGTGTTGTAGCTGAGGTTCCTATTTCGCAGACTTTGATTGCCAATGGAGTTAGAACTTTTGGGGGACAAATAGGTGGAGCTCCTACTGAAGCTGAGGATTGGCTCCAGGATACAGAGAGATGCATGGATCAGTTGGGTTTGGACTCAACTAAGAGATATCAGGGTGCTGTGGCGATGTTAGATGGCAATGCCTACACTTGGTAGGAGTCAGTGACCAGTAGTGTTCCTACCGATCGTTTGACTTGGAATTTCTTTAAGGATCGCTTTCGGAGCCGTTTTCTGGGAGAGCGCTACTTAGCTCAGAGACGACAACAGTTTCAAGATCTGGTTCAGGGAGACATGACTGTTTCTGAATATGAGATCGAGTTCCTGAAGTTGCTGAAGTATGGATTCAGTATGGTACCTACGGAGAGAGATCGATGTCGTAAATTTGCCCTTGGACTCAGATACGAGCTGCGTAGGCAAGTTGTAACCCATCAGGATGAGATATTTGATGTGCTGGTGGGCAGAGCCAAAGATGCGGAAGAGGTGGAGGTTTTAGCTTCTGGTAGAGAGCGTGTTGATCAAGATCGATCTAAGAAATTTTCAGGCCCGATGGAGTCATCAGCACAGTCCGGAAAGAGGACTCGTACTTCAGCCCCTCAGAGAAGCAATACACGTTTCAGGCCTGCAGCATCCTCACCTTTAGCTGTCAGTCGAGGCGGTTCCTCGACGTATTATAATGGGCCCCTTTGTGAGTATTGTGGTAAACAGCACTCAGGAAAGTGTCGTAAGAAGATGAGTCTTTGCTATCAGTGTGGATCTAGTGGTCATTATCGGAGGGATTGTCCTCAGTTAGTTTCGTTTGAGCAGACCACTACCCAAACTCCTGTGCGTTCGCAGACTACAGTACAGACCCCAATTAGAGATCGTAGTCAAGAAAAGACTCGAGGATCAGCGTCCAGGACAGACAGTAGAGCCCGACCTCAGCAAAATAGAGGGCCAACAGCTTCTGAGGCTAGACAACCAGCTTTAGTTTATGCAACTAGACGTCGTGATGACAGAGATGAGCCTGAGGTTATTGCAGGTACATTTACTATTTATTCTACCCCATACTTTGCATTATTGGACAATGGCTCCACTCATTCCTATGTATCGAGCTCAGTATCTCGA